TACATGTTCAACATTTTCACTTATATTGCAGTGCAGACATACATGAATATATGTTACATTAATGCACTTTTCTTCTGATTTTATCTTTGCACATTGCAAATATTGTTATATGTCACACTGCTAACTTGCAGATTCTCCAGTCATTTTTTTTCTTTTGCACATTTCTGTACTGTTTTTATATGTTTCTATGTTTAATTGTTATGCACCAGCTTATGAAGGTAAATTCCTTTTATGTGAAAACCTTCTTGGCAATAAACCTGATTCTGATTCTACTATTATCTCTATTCCCCTCACCCAATAAAAATAATGTCTTATTTAAACCAATGTAAGATCAAATCTTAGTCTAGATATAACTACCTCTTCTCTTCTATTTCTTCCTTTAACACTCTGTGCTCTAACAGTATGTTCTACCCTCCCTCCCCCCCAAATCTGAGATATTTTGTTTTTAAATAGTGCTTTTGCCAAAGTGAAATGTCCATTATATGCTCATATTTAGTGCTCTTTTAGCCACCCTCTCTGCAAATTCACTACCCTTAATTCCCACAGGTGCAGGTACCAAACAAAACATCTATCCCCAAGCTCTGAATTCTATAGAAACATTTCTAACATTAAATCCTCCCTAATTGACTTCACAGACTGCAAACTTGCTTCACTTCTTCCACCCACTGAAGACCAATAATTACAGACATCTTCTCAGCTGTATAAACGGATCATTTATTCGATATTCTATTTCCTAAATATATTTGAAATTGTGGAATATAGACTCCTGTTCCCACATCATGTGAGAACAGGAGTCTATATTCTGCGTCAGTAAATATCTGTAGATAATTGTAAAATTACTTCTTTGCACACTCTTTAACTTTACATCCAATTTTTCTTTAACTCCATGATTGTAAGGTATGCTTCAGGAAAAAGCCATGGGGTTGACATTGCTTATTGGACTATGGGAGTTTGGCTTTACTTGTTATTTTCCAACCGAAACCATTTCCCTTAAATCGATTATGCTCCCAACAATCATTTAATACACTTTTGGTGAGGTTTTCATCTCCACGTCCTCTCAGACGAATCCAATAAGCTAATACAGTTTTGTCCTTCTAAACTCTTGTGGGATTTGTTCCGATTCTGCAAGTGCAGCATTTCTTGGAGTTGATATCATTGCACCAAAGCAAGCCAAGTAAAAACAAAACAAGAAAACTATACTGCTGGTACTGAGCTTCAAGTACTTTTTTTCAGGAGAGTAAACAGTTTTAATAGTAATAATAATGAATATATTTTTTTCTGCAAACAGCTGCTTGGTCAGTGTTTAGTCATTCAACTTTAAACAGTGCTTCCATAACACCTGGCAGTGAGGCTTGGCGCTGCGGTCATGCTTCAGTTGCAGCCCAAATAGCCTCCAGATGTCACTGTTAAGCTATTCATTTATTCAAGTTGCTCTGACATCAAAATGAAACAAAAATAAGTTTTCCTGAACAACTGAACAATTTTTCATTATTTATTTATTGTTTATTTGTATAGTAAAGTATGTATCATAAACAAATGCCTCACACCACAGCATTTATAGCCTGAGCTAATTTGCACTTGATTTGAATACATTTCTGAAATTCAATTTCCGTTTTGTTTTTTCTTTTGTTATATAACTATTTATGCAATAATGTGATGTCACTGCAGCAAACATATTCTGATAGCCCAGGTTATATAACTATGATTACACAAATATGTCACTTAATACATGTTTTTACGGCCTGCAGAGGAGAGACAGCCACTGCTACATTGCCTGGTCTGAGCTGTTTTGTAGACTAACCTACTCACCTTTCTCACCCACATGCCCTGTTATACACCTGTTTGTATTCAAAACGCAATATAAGTATATATGGAAATGGAAATAAAGATGACCATTATGATGCAGTTTCCTCCTTTAAAGTGCATGACTTTATATTATTTAAACTGTTTAAGTCTTGTTTACCATCTCCGTTTGGAAAATAGCCTATAATACATCAAATAAAATACATACGTGATCAGGTATATTCAATGTGTTAGAGTTCATGGAGTTTTTAAAAGAAACCCAAGACAGCAAGGTCGTTAACATGTTTTGACCACTAGAGTGCAGTATAGTCACACCAGTGAGACAATGAGCCATCCCAAAATAAAAAGTAGTGAGGAGCTGACAGGAACTGAACACAGAGTCAGTGGTCTGATTATTGTCTACTCTGGTTTGAAACTTTATACAACATGCTTCATGTTTACTGAACCACTCAAAGATGTCCATCCAGTGAAGATCCTTTATTTTATTCCCATTAAATTTACGAGAATCTCATGACAATTTATCAGAGGCTTAAACCAACACTTACACCACCCTCAAAACACTGAAGGGTTCAGACCATCACCTCTTCCCAGTCACACCACTTCAGCTGATGATTTAGTGCTGTTTGGAGAACCTAAATATTAAAAAGTCTGTCGTGGGTTTTCTTAAGTCTGCCAGACTTAGAGGGGCCACCATTTGCTTCCATGCACAGGTCAAATACAGACTAAAATGCACAGGGTAGACAAGCAAACATAAATCTACAAAATATACTGCCTACAATTTCTGTCACCCTTCCTCCTTTTCTTCCTGTCCCTCCCTCCATGCACAGAAATAACAATACAGATGCTTCAAATGAGATGTTTTGCATTTTTAGGTGAGCTGGAGGTCAGATCTGTGCAGAGATTTACTGGAAGTCCAGTCCTAACAGATCCTGAAGGTAAAAGTTCATGTGCAAAAAAATACTTGCATTTCTTTCAGTATAGGCCCAGGAATTGTCTTCCCTGTTGTGAGTGATCACTTCATTTATCTTAAAAATTTCTTTTTTACTGTAGTAGCTGGAATATCATAATCAATTACCAGCAGTGGCAGTATTAGTAATAGCTCTAAAATGAGTTGTTGTTGAGTGATTTTTGTACTAGAAACAGATACAGAAGAACTAGCAAGGGTTGCAAAATAATTCTGACAAATGACTTACTAACACATTGCTACCAACAGAGATGAAATATAGTAGAATATAACCTGAATTAAACAATGTATTTGATCATCTGTAAGGTCTAATGTAAGCTGGCTGCAGCCTCAGAAATCTTCTTTTTTCCTTATGAAAACATAAATGAACCTAAAACAGGGATGGGTATGACTGTCAGGATATATTTCGTACGATTGCAACCCCTGTTTATTCCCTTTGGAGTTTTACACTGCTCATGTTTGTTGCCAGCTAATGACACACTGTAATGTTGTAACTTCTGAGCAAGCCGAAGGCTGCCAGGTGATACACACTCTCCTCTTCTCTCCTCTCCAAAGTTAAATCTGTGTTATATTTTTGTTTATATTTTTGAGCTATTTTAGCTCTGAGGTTGACTGATAGTGTCAGTTCTCTTTCAGCCAGAGCTAATGACTAAAAGGAAACCTTCACTGTCTTCTTATGTAAGTCCTTTCTACAAATCCCTATCCTTTAAAATAAAACCGGCTGCGGATGTGACTACAGATTCTTGGAACCAAGCTTCTAGAGGTTGTACCCTGTTTTTCTTTTATTCCCACTGCTAAGCTTCACTGTAATTGAATAAATAAATTAAATCAATTTGTTCTTTGCTTCGGCATTCAAAATGTATGTGTTTTAAAACAAAAGATGCTGTGAGATAATTCCACTTCTTCACAGTCCAATTTCCCCTTCTTCCTGAATTGAAAAAAGGCCAAATGTGCCAGATTGATTTAACTTACATCAAGAAAATTGATTCTTAATAATTTTCACAACAAGTAGTTATTTTTAACTCTTCTTACAGCAGTTCTCCTACAAGATAGCTAGTTTTCCTCTTACCAGTCCCACACACTACTAGGACAGCATTATACTCCAGCTCCTTTCATATGAACTAAAGTTTTATGATGAATGTGAGTTGTTTTTCTAATCATATTTTTGTCTTTTGACCAACTTGGGGACGCAATCTGGGGAAAAAAGTGTCAATCCAGCAGGGAGGATACTGTCCTGTATCCGGTACAATTGGCTCTTTCCTTTGGCTTACATTTTTTCTTCAGTCTCCACAGAGGCTGACCATGATGTGAGAAATTCCCCATGGAGGTGAAAGGCCACACCTCTCCACGTCTCTGTTTAATTTAGCTATTCATAATATCTTGAATGTCTTTATTTTATCCATGGGCTTAGCTCAGGTCAAGACACATCTGTGACAGCATATCAGTGAGTTAGTTTACTCTGTTCTCATACAGCAGTGGATCGATATTTCATCTCCCTTTTTAACTTTTCTACAATTTATAAGAGTGAGACTAATTCAAGCTAACTAGGACTTTCCCAACAAATTAACCCCTATTTGCTGAGAAAAGGCATAAAATCTCCTCATATGTTTTGTTGAAGGCACATTGGGTCATTCTGAGCATTTTTGGATCTTAATGGTTGAAGTCCTGTTTATGTTTTGGATAATTATACCCACAGTCCATCTTGAAGTTACCAAACAACACCTGGAGAATTAAAAAAAAAAGTGGTTTGGTGATGTGCCTGTAAAACCCAGATGGAAGTTTTCACTCTTTTTTTTACCAACAGATAAACAATGCAGGCCAGATTTGTTCCTGAAATTGTGTTGCAGACCCTTCTGGCACAATGCATCTATTTAATCCAAGGTGCAATCCAGTCAGTTTTAGTCACTGATTTTCACCTAAATGTGCTCATATGAATGTAAACTATAAGAGTTAGTAACAGAATATTGGGTTTAAACAACTCCAGTCTAGCTGATGCCACTGATGTGACCTTTGACCTCAAGCTCTGTTGATGTAGCGGAATAACACAGGAGTTAGAATAGTGACCTTAAAAAGGTTAATATTGAGGGCCCACACGGTCATGTCAAGTTCATTGTCTATATTCAGTGGACGTGGATGGGGTCTTTATGCTTGGGTTAGTTTTTTGTATTTTGGAGAAGTCATGTAAGGATCAACCAGCGTTTCTATACATGCAATGTCCCTATAATCCACAAGATTCAAGTCTGTAACTAATTAGTGCTGCCTAACTCATAAAAGACTGGACCCCTAAGATAAATGATTGTTTGTGTTTATGAACTACTATTTCAATTCAGTTTTATTTGTAAAGTGCCAAATCAGACACGATGCAAATAGATAAGGCCTAGACCTTACCTCCTATAAAATTAAATGATGATGTGATAAAATACATCTAAAAAAACCTTGACCTCACTCCTTTAATTCTGGCTAGTTAACACATTTTTACATTAAGAACATATATTTGAGTAAAGAAGCGTAGATGATGCTGTACATACAGTATGATATACTAAAGTTGATGGTGTGTAGATGCAGGTTCTGTATACGTGAGCTGGTGAGACCAATTCTTACCAATTCTAGTGTTACAGATTGGCCCCTCTCCTGAATGTAAATGAATTTATTTAACCAGGTCATATTTTAACATATATTATCAATGTAAAACAATTAAAAGTTTACAACATTCACATAAACCACAATAAGATAGGAAATGTAAGGCATTACAAAGAGAATAGCTTAACTATTAACAGTTGCATTCTTCATGAAACATTTCATTTGTACTTTATTACTCAACATGCTGCTACTCTGCTACTGAACAAGATCAAAAAATAAAAAAGGTGTCAACCTCAACTAAGGTAACACCTGTGGAAATCAATTATTCATGCTCAACTTCTATTCCAGCATTACCAGATATATATCTATCATCGCTCCTTTGATCCTTCTTCCATATCTTTTTTCCATTTGAATTCAACAGTGATATGATTATCTGGAAAAGGGCTGAGGTGGAAATAACATGTGGTGTCATGACTGGTCGTTTTTCCCCCTTTTTTTTCTGCAAGAAAAAAAAAGAAAGAGACTCACCTGAAGTCAAGAAGTGCCGTTCAGGTTAAAACATGCATTTTTATATTTAAACATGGGGCATGCAATAGGAAAATTTACTAATTCACCCCTCATCATGTGTTCTTCCTCCTCTCTACTTTTCTTAACTTTTAATTCCTTTTCTTCTGTTCTCTGTTTATCAGGCACAAGTATGTATCCACAGTCCCTTCATACATTACAGACACGTGCACACATACCCTCCACCAGTGTTTTCTCTGGTCACTTAACACTTTTCAGACCTGAGAGGTGACATTCTTTGGCTCATTACATTAACTCGAGGCTCTGTTTGCACCGCGGCCTGTCGGGGCTCGTGGCTGGAGTCCGGAACGGGATCCAACTGATGTGGCAAGAAGAGAGAAAGAGAAAAAAAAGAGAGAAAGAGAAGAGACGAGGGGGTTGCTGGGAGAAGGTGTGGGAGATCTGGGTCAAAAGGACAGTTTGCGGGCGAGTGGGGTGGGATGTGGTGTGGGCAGGGGTGGGTGTTGGGGGTGATCATCCCCATCACATGTTCCACGGTGTCCTGCAGTGTGGATGGCTGTGGGCTAAGCACACACAGCACACTCAACCCCATGCCCTTCCTGATGCTTTGATTTTCACCGCTTTCCCCTCCTCTACAACCCCACAACCTCCACAACATGCCCATACAGACACCACAAACACACACACACCTTGAGTTCTCGACTGTACTCTGAACAATTCATTCATACAGAAGTTCAAAGGTATTATAGAGGTAGACAGGGAGTTAGTGTGCGCAGGTCATTTTTTTCACTGCTATACAGTTTATGATGGGATGTCAGAATGATAAATGATTACTGTATGAGGTAACCACACTGTCAGTTTTTGATTACGGGTCTTCATGTTCAACCCACAACTGTGTTAAAACATGCAGGGGAGAAAAGCCAAACCTAACCCCCCAGTCAAAAATATTAAATATTTTAGCTGCATTCATAGTTTGGTAACATATAGAAAATGTCTGCCTGGAAACTCTCAGAACAATCCCATTCTTAGTTGTGGCTTTTTTTTAAAAACTCCTCTATGTTATGGTGGTGCCAACAGGTCCAATTTTAAATCCTTACTGTCAGATGATCTGGCTGTAGGCTGCGGCTGTCAACATTTGCATCTTTTGGCTCTTGGCTATTCATTTTTCTTGTAAAGCTTAGTGGTCTTTCAATTGCGTGGTTTCAAGTCTTGAAAACATGTAACTATAGTGCTTCTTTTTCTTTACCAGATGTAGATATTCTTTAAAAGTAATGCTTAGATGTTTTCTTGAAACATACAATGAAAAGAAAGACAGAATTTAACCCTGACATGTTTGCTTTTTGACCTTTAACATTCGCTGCAGTACTTCATCAAACAGTTGCCAAATCCCATCTTGTCTATTATTAACAGACAACAGAGAGACTTACACAGGACCTTAAGGGGTGCAAAAATAAACAGACAGGCGAGAGTGTTTCTATGATCTTGCGGATGAGGTTCAAGTTTGCTGTCTGCAAAACAGATTGGTCACTGCATGGAAAAGCCTCCCTGTCTGTATGTTCTGCACATGTCACAGAAGAATGCTTTGAGCCGATGCCAGCAACATCTACTTTTCGAATGCATAATTCAAATGGCCCCAGTCACTTCTGTCCGCCAATCATCTCTACGAACATGAGAGGAGATTGAAGAGTTGATAACCCGTTAGTAAATAAATATAGTTACAGTTTATAGGAGAGGATCTGAAGCACAGTATAATGACTCTAATACAAATTCTAAACTGGTAGTCTTTCCAGTGCTGCAGCTCATACTGTAGCACCTACAGAAGAAACATTACCGGAACAAAAAGCTCTCTGTCAAAGGAAACATCAAAGCTTTTTCTCATTTGTTTCTAGCTGATTGCAAAAAAGATATGTCCTCAATTCAGAAGTGAACTGTCAAGTCTAAGGAAGTACTGTACATGTATAAATACCATGTAAGAAAGGGATTTTCCCTTTAACGAGAGGAAGAGGCTGTGTTCAGAAATCATTGGCCTTCAGGCTACTTATTATGCTCTGGCCCTATTTTATCAAGAATGCATTACTGGACATGGATGAAAAACATGTGCATGCTTCATTTGCAAAACAGTGCAAGTGGACAACATGAAAGAATCATGAGAACAACAGAACTCGCATCTGTTGGGGATTTCTTAGATTTTACAACTAACTCTGAGAACCCCAAAGTAGATCTGATCTGTCAGTCCACAACTTTTTTCCAGTCTTAAATATCTCTATTAGCTCGATTGTCATGCAATTTGGTACAAACATTAATTTTTCCTTCAGGATGAATCTTAATGACTTGTGATCCCAAGTTTTCATTGACATTTATCAGGTCAAAACTACTGGCATTCCCATCATCCTCAGCTGTACTTGTACTGTGTTTAGTGTTAATAAGCAAATATTAGCAACATCCGCAAATAAGATGGTGAAAATGGAACCATTACACCTGCTAAACATCAGCAAGTTACCATACGGTTTAGTGTTTAGCTCAAAGCACGTCTTTGCTCCAGCCTTGACTTCATCTCTAAGTTTATACCAGAAATTGCTGTTGTTGTGCACAAACAAACAAGATATTTGTAACACCAAACTCTCTTTTATCAGGTTTAAACTTTTAACTAGACTGGAAAACCGACAATGGCTGAAGCAATACTTACACGATATTTTGGGGAAATGCTTTCTTGCAGAGAGTTAGATTAGAAGATTGTTTCCCTATGCTTCCAGTCTTTATGCTAAGCTAAGCTAATAGTCTGTTTAGTTAGCGGTTTCTCAGCAAGAAAGTGAACAGGCATATTTCCCACAATGTCTAACTGTTCCTCTAAACATTAACTAATAATTATTCTCCTTCTGCAATGGCCTGGCAGTATGAGAACAGCTAGAGGGTTTACCCTGCACCCAGCTCTCTGCACCGTCTGTTCCTTTGCCAGTCTTTCTCCTGCTGTAGGTCTGCTGTGTGATGGGGCGTGTAGGAAAAGGATTGGGGGCACATTTCACACCTTGGGGGCAGCTTGGTGGGGGGTTGGCAGCAGCTTGATGAACAGAGTGCACCTGGCTCAGAGTCGAGGTCCCCAAGTCTCCCTGGTACAGACATGGTTTACAGATCAAAGCAGGGTAATCTCTGCTCCATCCAGTCACACACTCCTCCCACACCGTCTCCTCCTTAGAGTCCTTCTATTGTTTCATCTCCTAAACTCCTAACCCTCCGAAGCTTCTACAATCTGCACCCCTATGAAACACACCTCATCCTCTTTCCTATGTTTGAACTACCTGTTTCCCTTGATGCCCATGGTGAACCCTGAAGCCCTGGCTGTGGGATTTTCTGACTCATTAGCTCTGCTCAGTCAAGTGGAGCAGCCTGCAGATTCCTTCCAGCCAAATTCATCAACCCAGCCAGGGGCTCCGACTGTGAGGTGATAAGAGTGAGGAGGCTCCAGCCATCGGACCCCGCCGCGACTTTGTTTAGTGTGAAATGAGATGAGGAGGAGGGGGACGCGGAGGAGCAGGAAGGGAGAAGGATGCGAGTGCTAATCAAGGCCTGCAGATGGGTTTTGATGCGTCGGATATGAGCAGCAGGGCAGCACCGCACCCTAACGCAGTGCAGCGTATTTAACACAGCTTAGCAGTGTAGTTACGGGAGTGTTAACGCCTGTCAGTTATACGACTCCTCGTCTTGGCAGCAGGTGTCTGTTTGACCCTGGGTCTAATGTGCAGACGGTGTCCTGTTGACCTGGACGGTTTGAAGCCACAGGACTAGCACAGAACAACATGCAAATAAGGGGAACACCTTTTCACACCGACATTCTGAAAATGTTTACTGTTGACCCTAACTGTTTAAATGATGATAATTGCTCTCATCACACGTTTTCTGACATTTTTTTGGACGTATCTGAATAAAAAAAAAAGTTGGAAAGACTTGTAAGGTTATTTGTTCTGAAGAAACATGATGTGTATAAAGCTTTATCATCATTAGCTGAAATCTACTTTAAAGGAATACTCCACCGAACACTACTACTTGGCATGAAAGATGTCTCTGAGAAGGTTGTAGCTTGTTTCTTCTCAGAGGAGGGCACACTGTAGTCAGCTTTGATAGCACATACAGATCAATTGAACATACAGAATAGAGGAGAAGTGGCTGATGCAGGAGCAACAAGTCCTCCAAACTAAACAACAGCATAGGTGTGTCACGGCCTTCCAAAATTTATGATCACAACAACAATTCACAAGCATAGAGTGCTGCAAGGATGACATATTTTTGTAGGTCAAGGAGGTTAGCGTCGCTCCACGAACAAAAGGCCTTCCCTTTTGGATTATTGCAGAAAATAAGTTCTGGGGCGAACAAAGATTTATGAGACAAGTAAACACCCCATTCGCCAGGAGTAACGTTAGGCTATAAAGTAACTACACTACTACAACACTAAACTTCCGATTGGAATCAAAATTGTGTAATTAAAATTTACAAGTTGGAAAGTTTGAGTTAGAATATTTTGCTAGAGCATGGGTGTAAATACAGTGAGGCTGTAAAAGTGGACAATTGAGTACAGATAATAAGTCTCAGTGTTCAGCGTGCTGACGTTTAATGTCACCCAAAACCTCTAATGTAATTTAGCCACTTGTTAGCAACCAACTTTTTTAAGACACATAACACTTAAAATTCATAAGTAGGGTATTTTTTGACTGATTTCATGTTTTAGAACAAAAGTTTGTGTGAAAGATTTGTTATTGACCTTTTTTCAAGCACTCGCCCAAGAACCTTTTCAAAACACCTATTGACTGGATTCGGAAGTGCAAAAAAACAAAAAAAACAACCTGTAAACACGTTAACCTTATAAAGTTGTTGGCAAACATTTGCCTCTTACAGATCCAACAGACACGGAGCAACAGTATTAGCAGCCATTTTTAGTCTTGTTTCTGGCCACGGGTTCACTCTTGGCTCTTTATCTGCTAAATGCTCCACTGTGTTCACCAGCTAGACCTCGATCGCAATTCCCTCACTTCATCCCTCCCTTCCAAGCACAAAGGAGAAACTACAGTGGCCACGAAATGCGTAAAAAACGTGAATGGCCCTATCTATTAGTCCCTTACTGTAGAAATATGAATATTCCATTTCTGTCAATAGATCCTCCTAAATGTTACACACTGGACCTTTGGAAAATTGGATCTTACTTCACACAATTTGTTTAATTATTGTTTTTATCTGCAGAATCTATCCAGAATGTCCCCACAATGCCTCCGTGTGCTTTCTTAATGAAAGAAGGTTTGCTGTGCTATAACAATGTCACACTAGTACTACTTCATTCTCTGCAGGAGTGGCTTGAGTGTTTTGCTGTGAAACAGGGTCACCATTGGAATAACTAAATAACTAAATCCAAGATAGCGCTGTGTTTTGCTCAGGGGCAAGCTTCAAACATTTCAGAGCCACATATTAAGAATATAATAGGCTGTGAGTACTCTAAAAAACACTATATATGGGGAAAAGAGTTCAGGTCTTTAAATGTAAGCTTCTCGTTATTTGACATTCATGATTTAAAATGGAGATTTTTATGCTCAGGCTGGTGGGGATTAT